AAGTTTTTATTAAAAAAATTAAACTTTTTAATAAAAACACAGGCAAATTTGTCTGTGTTACAATTTAAGGGATAGATCATAATAAGGATCCTGATAAGTTCGTGACCATTATAGATAAAGACAAAACTGATTCAATAGATTATCTTACAAGGATAGATGTTGATACAAATACCTGTCTCTTTAATATAGAACAAGGTAATGATCCCTACGATTTTATGGAAATGACATATCGGGAAAAATTAATAGGAGAAGAAATTTTACACCATAGACTTAAAAATGCAAATGAATGCATATGGCTTAACACTGATGAAGAATGGATAAAAAATAAAACCATACTCCAGAAAAATGGATTGCTATGGTAAGTCTGCAAAGCAGGACACTCTGTGTCTATTACAACTCGGTTTGATCATTATGATAAAGTAAGAATAAAAAGGTTTTATAGGTAGAAACATCTAATAGAGGGGGCTTTTTTGCCTCTTCAAACTAGACAATATAAAAATTTTTAATAAAAAAATTACAAAAACAATATGTTCTTATGCTCTATATATACTGTAAACAAAATGAGCGATCAAGAATTAGAAACTTCAGAAAAAGTACTTAATCTATTAACTGACCAGATAATAAATCTGAATGGGCCAATATTCCATAAATTAATTCACAATAGATATAGACATGTTAGTGATTTATCGAATTACTCAGAAATATCTGAACATATCGATTATGGTTGTTCTGATCACATAGCCTTCTTATTTAATATATAGAAACCGGCAATAATACCACTACCCGAAATATTACAAAACAGACCAGACATATATCGCAAATATCTTATAACTGTTGAATCGTGCCAAAATTTATTTGGATAGATGTACTAAATAATAGAAAAATGAATAATAAATCTTAATATAACCTGGACCTCTATCTCTAGAGCTATATTTTTTTTATTATATCCCATATAATAGTAAATTTTAAATTAATGTAGCAGTTACTCTATAGGTAGACATAAACTCTCTTTTATTATGGAATAATGGCACTTACGTGCCTCTGAGTATAGGAAAAAAAAGCATAATTAATTTTGATTTAAAAAAATATTTTATATAGTGTATATAACCTACTCAACCTACTATAGCATTAGATAATGTCAGCTATTGCTACAGAAATTGTTGAAAAATACAAACTCCCCCGAAGATGGATATATCCAAGCTTAGTCAATATACCTCTGAGTTTCTTGAGAATCTTACTGATAATAGAAAGTGAAATCAAGCTTGATGCCATCTTTGGGATGGTTTTAAATTTAGCAGTGAACAGGTAGGTGTATTGATACCTAATCAGAGAAGTGAGAAAAATAAAACTATAAATTTGGTTAAAGGTAATTGTAGAATAGCAATAACCAAGCCCCCAAAAAGTTTAGAAGAAGAGATTGTCAGAGAGAAAGCAAAACAAATCTTGCAAAATAGATATGGGTTTAGTGAAGATCAAGTAAATGTCTTATTCACAATCCTGAAAAACGAAAGTAGATACAGTATAACTACTTCAGATAAAAATGTAAATATTGTAATCACCAATCAACTTTCTAAAGGAATGGAGGAAGAAACAATTGGGGATATGGTACAACAGATTTTACAAGATAAACTTAGTATTAGAGATGTAAGAGCTAAAGCTTATGCCTTAGCCCTATCAGCAAAAAATGCTAATACTGGCTTATCACATCTCACTCGTCTTCATAGAGAATTAAGGAACCTTAATGCATCACTTGAGATAATTGAGATTACAAAATTTCCAGATATTACAGAAGATGCCAACAAAATCCAGAGTGTCAATCAAAAAAAAGCTGAAGCTAAATGTATTGATTATCCAGATGAATTTACATTAGAATCAGTCAAAGAAAGATTAGATGCATATGATATTGATTGTTAGGCTCTTGCTGATATTATGGTAATGCTTTGTATTTGTCCTGCTGAACTTAAAACTTTACGCATTACAGATGCTGGAGTGACGGGATATGTAAAGAATCAAGGTTAGCCAGATATTCTCAGAAAATTTAGATCAATAGAAAAAAATCAAGAACGAGCCAAAGAACTACTCACTTGGATTCAGCATGCTATATCATCTGGACGAATGGGTGATCCAGGTAAGCCAGGAGTTAAATGGTTCAATAAATTCTTAAAAGATTATGATTTAATTCCTAAATATTTATGTAAATTAGGAGCAGTTAAGATGCAGTAGTACATGAGACTAAGAATATGACCCACACTTATACAATTGCTGGAAAATGTCTACGTCATTCATCTGATAATCATACTTCTCCTGTGCAAAATTACGCTGTAGTCAATTATAAAAAAAGAGGAGTTTCTTATGAGCAAGCAAGATGATTTTATATCTATGATCAAGATTAATTGTGCTTTTTCACTTTTACCATATCTACAGTAAAATCTTCATTATCATAAAAGGATTCAGAGCCGCACCCAGATTCAGATTTAGACGAGGACTCAGATGCGGTATCATTAAAAATTGTTTTTTTTCTTTTAGCCTCAGATAGTGTATGATTTTTCTAAGAAATATCCAGGTTTGCTATCGAGTTTATAATATCTTGCTAAATCTCAGGTTTTACTATTTTTAGTAATTGACAGAGAGAGATCTGAATTTTTTTATTTGACATGTTTAATAATGCGAGATATCACACTATTACTATTTTAGATTTATGATTATTTTCTAATATAGCTTTATTCATTGTTAATATCGTATCGTAATATGTACCTTGGTACTAGCTTTGCTATTATTTATTATATTAATATATAATAAAATTTAGAATAAATATTATTTTTCTGCAATGTCATGTGTTTTATTTCAAAGAAATGGCTCGAAGAGCCTAAATCCATGAATCGGAGATCAGTATAGAAGTATTTTGGTACTAACCAACTCACTAACCACACTTATTGCAGAGCAATGACCCTTTGGGTCTACCCTTAAGCTAAATTATTTATCCACGATTGCTAGTGAAGATCAAGCAATGATCCTTTGGATCGAGTCTTTGACTCTCCTGGCTTATACTAAATAATTCATGAATAAACGGATTGCCAAATCTGAAATTACTAATTTTTGATTGTAGTGTTTTGCGCCTAGATATGTTGATCTGTAAAAATTGCTAGATGCAGAGCATTATTTGCTTGAAATATCGCAACATAACCAAAAAATTGTAAGTATGAATATTATATGCCTTAAAACCCTCGCATTAAATATTCTTAAAAATGGCTCTTCCGAAACTATTGCAAGCGGTGTTGAAGTTTCTAAACTAGATCCGTGTTCTATATGCAATGAAGAAATTTTTTTGTACATACTTAAAAAGTCATTCACTGTATTAACATGTGGTCATACTGTGCACCGTCTTTGTCTTAAGAACCTTAGAGAAACTATGTTTACTTGTCCTATCAATAATTGTAGTATGGAAATCGAAATCATTAAAAAGTCACCACTAATATGAGCTCCATCACAAAGAAGTATGAGCATAGATGAAGGATCACAAGATCCATTAATATTTGGTAAAAATTCTTTAGTGAATCTAGATACAATTATAGAAGAGAATTCCGAAAATAATTCACAAAACAAAGAACCTGGCATACCTGACTTCACTACAAGTAATTTACCATCTAAACGTATTGGTAAAGCTACCTCTGCTAAATCGTCAAATAAAAAAAAGAAATCCGCATAAAGAGAAGATTCTCCCATATTGAAAAGATTTATTCAGAAACTGTCAACTAATAATCCCAAAAAAACAGTAGCAATTTGAATCTACTTCTAAAACAAATACCGACTCAGTTAATTTTCTTGATCTATATAATAAAATTATAACTTCTAAAGATATTAATGAAAAAATGTCTCAAGATGTTATTCTTAGCTATTTTCATTTTGGAAAAGCATTGGAGGATCATTTCAATCACTACAGAAAAACCAATCCCAAACATACAGCTCAAGGGTTAGTTAATAATGAGGTTAGAACTCAGCTTCCTAAAATAGTTAGTAAAAGCTTACTTCGAAAGACAAAAGAAAGAGCTCAGAAAATTTATAATATTTTTAATTAAATAGGTATAGATAAGATTCAAAGAATTCGGTCTTTTATAGCTACAACAATAGCAAATATATCTCAGAATGATATTGATTTTGTATTGGCCAAACTTTTGATTTTAAAATATATCATGTAGTCACGTAATGTTGTGACAAGCTGTCACAATCTATGTAATAAAATTTAATCGTGTTAGCATTTATGTATAAATACGCCTAATTTTTAATAAAGTATTTTGGTTTGTCCGCCGGGCTTAGTGTTAACTTTGAAGCATGGTAACCTGCTTATGCATAATTTATTTGAGACGGGGCACAGGCACATGGTGCCACACATTACAGGTTTGTATTGTATAAAAAAAATTAGCCACATTATATTTTTATATTAATATAACAATGAAAGATAAGAATAACACATTAACAAATAAAAAAAGACACATACATTGAAAAGTGGCACATTAGAAGCATGGATGTAAGGTCTGTGACGAATGCAATCACTATTCATATCTGTATTGCAAAACATGCAAAAAGGTGGCGGATGGAATATATAAGCAATGCGAATATGAAAATTTTTTAAGGAAAGAAACGATAAGTAAAAGCTTCACTATTTCATAATACAGTAGTTTCAAGTTCCTAACTCATCTATTGTATCCTCAAATCATTAAATAAAAATAAATTTCTGTCACAAACTTACATGACGATCAATGCTAAATGATATAATGATATCTTACTGTGACATCGATGTCACACCTCTTCAAGAATAGTTTTTTAATTTTCCATACGCTTGAATGACAATAAACAAATCCCGTAACATAAATATTTTAAATAAATCACGGTCCCGGTCCCGTACGCAGAATTTTTTTATTCGAATTCTGGAAAAATACAATATTGGTATTGTCCATTTATTGTGTAACAATATGTGACCTCTGTTGTATGACAATCTGATTGAAACTATAAAAAGGTAGAATGTACGACTTACAGGGGAGACCGTCCCAAATTAGGAAATCAATTCCGGTATTGTTACACAAGTGTTAAAGAAATTTTTATATACGTTTTACAATACTTTTTTAGGAACTTCGGGTAACCTACCACCATTAAGAAACGTGGATATGTCTACTAAGCAAACTTAAAGTTTTCGTCTTGCCTTACAACATA